TGACAGAAACCCTAAATAGTTCCTTATTTGACGTTTAGGGTGGGTTACAATTAGGCCGGCCTAGGCCCTAGAGTACGTGCGAGGACATCGCCGGTATGACGGGCCTCGTATCGGCCTGTGATTCTCTGTTTATCACTCGGTGACGCTACGAAAAGTTTGACGACGTTTTGTGTTTTTCTGAATGAATAGAACGCAATACTCGGCAAATAATTATTATAGCAACTTTTGGTAAACTTTCAAATAGTTGCCTAAAAATATTTCGACAGTTTAATGGTTCCATATATCCCGAAAAAATGCGTTTTTGTTTCGTGCAACTCCTAGGCTAACTTTATGTACTATTGCACTGTCAGCGTCCATCGCGCAATAGGGGCAGACTGCGCCGGCGTCCGCGTAATAAAGATAAAATATTTGGCCTAGTGCGCTCGCACTTGCAAAATCTGAGGCGGCAGCCTTTGAATGAGATAAGACGAAAATGTTCGTCTTAAGGCAGGTATGTTTTCATCTTAAAGTTAAGATGATTTTAAGCAAATTTTAAGCAAATTCTAAGCTAAGCAATATTGATAAATCTGACTTAAGCAAAAAAATGGATTTAAGACGAATTTAAGCAAATTTTCTTGCTTAGCAAGTTTGATAAATCCGCCCCCTGATACCCTGCTGATACTACCTGAGACCTACAGTAGGGTAGGCTAGACTAGGCCTACTATCTACCCTTAGGAGGCCAAGCTCTAGGCCTAGGCTTTGAATAAATGTGAACTAAAAAAAAAAACTATGTTTATATTCACTCTTTTGATTCATTATGAAGTTCTAGCAGGGAATGTTAATCCTGAGGATTTTATCTGATTTCATCTAACAGCCCTTTCAATGCGATAACAAAGTCAGTTTCATTATCACTTCTCTGTTGCCACCCGCCATTTCGAGTTTTCATTTCATTTCATTTATTTATTCGACCAATACACATTTACAAAAGGTACAGTACAAAAATTATGGTCAGGGACTTTGCGCGATTCGCTTCGCTGGCCGCGTGACGCTCGACGCTTTCGCTTGACAAGTCCGGCCAAATTTACTAGCGCGAATCGAAAGCGTCGGTGCGTTGCTTCGGTTCCTGAGCTCTGATTGGTTGGGAGCATTTTTCGCTTCGCAAAAAGTAGAAACAGTTCGAACTACCAATTTCGCTGAAGCGAAAACTCCGATAGAAATGTAAATGCGCATGCGCATGGACGATGCTTTCGATTTGCTTAGTGGCAAACCGGCTTAAGTGCTATTCCTACTTCAACGTACTGGCACCTCGATTCACAATTAAATCCTTTGTGGTCTACTGATTATTATGATAGGCCTATTACCTGTGCCTAAAAATGTCATTGATTTAATCCAGTAAAGATCGATTTATCTATTCATTATTTTGCCACATGTGCATTCACATTTCTATCGGAGTTTTTGCTAGCGAAAAAATGCGCAACCAATCAGAACTCAGGAAGCGAACCGACGCTTTGATTCGCGCGAATAAAATTCGCTAAGTGGAAAACCAGCTTTACAGTCTCCCTATAATTAAAGACCCCTCCAATTAAAGATCACACTCAATTGAAGACCATGTTTCTCTGAGGTCCCAAATTAACAAATGTCTTTTATCTTTGTAATTCTAATTAGAGACCAAAGCTGGAAACTCTGATACCAAGTGTGGTCTTTAATTGGAGGGAGAGCTGTGTTAACATTTTGCAATAATGCTAGAATAATACACTGTCAACGGCAATAATCTGAGACCGTGTAAAAAGGTGATCGATAAAATTAGTAGAGAATTAGCTCCGGCATTTGCCGCTATATAAATATAACATTATTATTATTACTGTTATAATTAATTGCTTAAAACAACAATAGTTTCCGTGAAAAATCGACACATCGACCTTCACAATGCTTATAAACAAAACACTTTATGATACTATAAGACTAATAGAAAACATGATAAAGACACTTGTGATCTAGTCTCGATAACAACCATGTGAATTATATTGACTTAGTTTCAATATAGGCCTATTTACAGAAAAACACCTTATATATGCTATATAAATAAAATATATATAATTATAACTATTATATAAATATATATATATACAGTATATATGTATATATATACATTTTGAGCGTTAAATTTAACCTTTATTTATCTGTGCATTTAATTATCACTTCATATCACCTTATTTTGCCAACTAGCACGCCCTCATTTTATCATAAAGGATCCCCTTCCTGACCTTTGAATCTACTTTCTGCAAAGCATATTCCTGAAGGTTAATGTTATTGATATGTAATTATTTAAAAAAAATAAAAACAATTAAATGGTAGACAGTTTAATATTATACCATCTAAAAATAATAGGGCCTATGCATGGTAAGGGGCGAATACGTGACTTTGGAAACAGACTTCGTAAGGAGAACTTCAAATGGGGTAGTTGCATGGACCTGCTGACAGAAGGTGTGGCTTTTTAAAATACATTGCACCCTGGGGCAGATTTAGGGGCGGTCTGCCCCCCCCCCCCACACATTTTGGGAAGTTTTGGGAAGAAAAAAAAAAAAAAAAAAAAAAAATGATACCCAGTACGCCTCAAATGTTATTATCGGGCGTCTAGAACACAAAAAGTTCGAGGGGGCATGACCCCGGATCCCCTAGGGTGGTGTTGTCTCGTCGACCCAACTTCCCCCCACCCATTGGACATCTCTGGATCCGCCCCTGGCACCCATCAATCTTAGACCCCTGAATTCCAGACGTCTCTAATTACTATAGACTCATCTAATTCAGGACCACTTTTTCAAAAAACAAAATAACGATCATCAATCTAACGCAAAGTTACCTCGCACTACAGCAACATCAAAATATATTCGTGCAATATGTATGCAAAATATGTACGATTAAAACCCGGGGTGACCATGTACATTTTAAGTGCAGCCAGTTACTCCATACATAAGTGTAAGCCAAATTACGGCGATTAATTGCCGATGATAATATGGAGCCGATTACCTCGCGTACAGTGCTCATGAGCAAATTGGATACAATTGCCCGGCCTTTAATGTATACAAGGGTCGGACAATATTGTACATAACTTTATATGCCAGTAGTAATGCCTACAATGCGTTGTTATTTCTTACTATCATTTAAACTATTGTATTTTGCAGAGTTTTGTACTTTTGTAGCAAATACAAAAAAGAAGTCTGAGATAGTTTGGAATGATTGAATAGGCATTCTGGTAGTCGGGTAGAATGTACTTTTGAATTGTATGGATTTATTTTCCAAATAAAATATAAAAAGAAAGTGAAAATATGTCCAATTAACTTCGGAAAACTACATTGTCAGTACGGATCCAACGGGGGCCATTTACTTCGGGTACTAACTGTTTTTTTAATAACTGAAAAATGACACTTGACGACCAATTTTCGGTCAATAGTACAAGGCTTGTTCATAGCACATGGTATAACAATTAAAAATGTATTTTCCGGTTTAAACTGTAAATCATTAAATATAAATGGCCCGTAATATTTTGTGATTGGAACATGTAGAACGTAATGTAAAAATATGGCCAAGACGGCGGCAGTGATTTAATTTGACGAAGACAGCTGTACCCTGAAACAATATACAGGTCCGGGATAGAATAGCACATATTGTTCCGGTTAATGAAAGAAATGCCAAGGTCGGTTGGTGTACATAAGCGATGTAACATAGTCTTTGTTGTTTTTATTTTATATGTTTATATTACGCATTTATATACTTATCTTTGTCGGTCGCTATAAGGTTAATTTATCCCGGAATAATAATAAACTGTGTATAAACTTCATTGACGAAAACATTTATTCAATCTTAAATGTTTTCTTCAAGTTAAAAATTGTACAAATACATGATAATTATAAAGAAATAAAATAATTAACAACAATAACATTCAGTACATATATATATACAGTAATATA